GCTGGAGAGAGCTCAAGCGCGACGGTTGGACGTCGAAGCCACCCGTTGGATTATCTAACGACTTCTTCTACATAAAACCTGGGAAAACGAAGAAGGGCGTGCGAGGTGAAGTTTTTTTCCTTGGCGAAAAGGAGTTGATGGATCACTTGGACTGCTTAGCTCTGGGTAAGGGTGCAATGTGTTGTGTCGATATAAGAATCAAACCTAATTAACATACCAGCAGGCCGAATGCGTCAAAAGCAGAAGGACCGTGATGCTTACGGACGGACAATCGCTGCCTAGAACGATCCTGTCCACGACGGATCGGCATCCGGAGGTATGCATCCTACAACTTGTATAATACACGATATGCACCTTACCTTATCTTGTATGTTACAGAACATCAAGTTGGTCCATCTGAAGCTGCTGTTGAGGGCAGTACAACCTCCCCTGCAGGTACCGGTTGAACACAAGTCAAACTGGTAGAATCTGACTGATCATATGCATTTGATATAGTAACCCCAGAGCACACATCACTAGGCGAGCGCCTCATCCCTACGTCCCCGCACGTGATGGCCAGTGATGAAGAGAGTGAGAGCTGTTCGCAGAATGGCACACCAGTACCGGATGACTCTGAAGGTACCTTTGTTGAGTGGATATGGTCCCCATGGTAATCTATTGTTGAATTTAGCAGTACAGCGCAATTTGGAGGCGGACTTTGAAGGTGTTGTCAACGCTGGAGACGGTGGTGATGCTGGACGTGACATTCAGGCGAACCAGGGCACGCTGGCTACACATCGACCGCAACCCATCGATGAAGAAACAAAAGAAACGGAGCCTCCAGGCAACACCCGAAATACAGGTTGGATTAACATGTACCGGACACAATACCGATACGCTTTTAATATGTTAACGTGTATGTTTTGTGCTGTATCAGACACGTTACGAGATCCGAATATCATAACCGCTGACGAAGCTCTTGGTGAATATGCTGCCCTTGATTCCGATGGCGGGTGCGTAGGCGATTCTGTATACGATGACGATGACGAACTTGACTGGGTTGAGCCCAATCCAGATTCTGAGGAAGAAAATGACTCCCCGACCGACATTCACTTTACACCCGATCTACTCGCCACGGTTGGTGGAGTTGATGTGGTTGCTCGTGGTGCAGTACCTGAAGCCGCGCTAGACGCAATGCGAGACAGTGGGTGGACGGAACCTCAGCTCTGTACGCCGTACCCGTATATGGATGAACCTTACGAGATGCGACCTGATGAGTGGATTCGAGAAGACTATCCTGGTATCTACGAAGGTGACCATGGA